AAACGGGCCGCACGGGAAAACATACAATCTTTCAGAAGGGCCAACAATGGATATAAAAAGGACTGTGCAGTAGTTCCAAGGGATTGCGTAAGACCGATCCAGGAGAGGAACAGTTGTGATGCGATGCAATGGCTCAGGTCACAGAGAATTGTATCGGCTTGAATAGGCACGGCAATGTTCTGCAACTTCCCGATTGGGATAGGGTCTGCGGAGAGATAATAGAGCAAAAATAGACAATATGATATACAGAGGGAGAAAGATTGAGTATAGCAATCGACCCGAGCAGGCAAGGAATCAAGGCCCTTGCTTCCCAGAGTGAGGATGACGAAGGATAATGAAGAGCACGAGATGCTTTTGTAGCACACTCTCAAGGAATTCAACCAGAAGGGTTCCCGTGCTGAGAGGGGAATGAGAGGCGTGCAGAACAAAAGGAGGACGGAGAGAGGGGAGCAAAAGCATTGTTAAATGTTATGTGATTGCTGGCCCTATGAACCATCTAGGATTCGCAAGTAGATTGGCCTACTACGAGCGAACTAAGAAAAACAACGCTAAAGAAACCCATCCAGACTACTGGAGGTGGAACGCGCAGCAGGAGACAGGGGAGTCATCTCTAGCGGCGCGACAGGTGTGGGTGCGTGTGGGCGGATGATGTCGATGATGATGGTGGTTGAATTGTGGAGCGCCAGAAGACTAAAAAAAAAAAAAAAAATACCAATAATAACAAAATAATAATAATAAATAAAAAAAAAAACAAGGGAGACTAGTGGAGATGTCCGACCAGCAGGGGCAGGCTGTGATCAGGGCCGAGTTTTAGTATCGTATTATTAGCACTACATCTTACTACCATGGCACACTAACATAGGTTTGTAACTATTCTTACCATACCGCTAACCCTGCATTACTGCACAGCCAGCAGTTCTCCATTTTAGCGATCTACTTCCTATGTTGACCTCTTTTCCGTCTTTTATTTTCCTTTTCTTTTTTCTTTTTTTCTTATTATTTATTATTATTATTATTATTTTTAATTTTTCTTGTAAACTTTTTTTTTTTTTTTTCTTATTGAATTATTTTCACTTCGACCTTTTTTCCTTTCTATCTTATTTCTTTTACCCTTAACAGCAACTCGCAACCCAGCAGTAGTATCCCTACCAGAGACATTTCTTTGTAGATGCTGAAAAACTCTCTCCCTTGGCTTTTGAGAGATATTTCAAAGATAGAATATTTTAACGAACACCACTCTCATGGCAGGTGGACTCTGGAGTAAGGAGTTTGCAGAAAGTACTGTACTGTATTTAAAAGCTATTCGTCATGAGGACCCGTCGTGGTAGTAGTACTACGAGTAGTGGTAATCGAGGTAAAATCTATGACCATCTGAAAAAAGTCAAAGGATCCACTTTTACTCACCCAATCCTTTTGTCAGAACAACCATAAACCCATGAATCTGTAATAGTACACTTCTTCCTTTCGAGGTCTCCGCCCTGTGAGACTTCTCCTTTAAGGGTTCCTGCATTGTATTTCATGAGCACATGATAGAAGGAAGAGGTTCAATGGTTACAATTCCTGACAGTTCCGGACCGCTCTTCCCTCCCTTTAGGTTCTATCTAAATATTTACTCTCAAGACCACTCCAGATGGAAGCACTGATGGGCTTTTTTCATGGCACCCCATTTCCATCCCTACCATGCATGCTAAAATACCTGGGGTCTGGGGACCCAGTCGGAGACACCGCCCATACATACAGAGGTACATTCCTGACACATCCGTATGCGCATGTGTCATCGGCAAGTCCGTAGCACACAGACCATCATCGACTTGGCGTGCTCAGTAGCCTATTTGTAACCTTGCCAATTACTTAAAACAGCTTATGGTGGATTCATCAATATCATCCTCCTGATAAGATGGTGGCAAACTTCGTCTCTCCTCGTTCTGTGAAGAAACAGAAGGGAAAGGGAGGGGAGGGGGAAGAAAAGGAAAGGAAAAAAAAAAAAAAAAAAAAAGGAAAAGCGGCCACGGAATTGCGGGCTAAGACATGGATTTGAAATGGAATAAGAGTTAGTCTTTCCCTTTTCACTTAGCATGAAGCTCATCAACCCCAGTTTCTAAAAGACAAATTCAATAGTCAATGCAGAAGAGTCCACTCCCATCACAGTAATGAAGATCTAAAGTCAATTATCGGTCAATGCTTGACAGAAAACCGACAAGCAGAAGAGAATGACAGTAGTAGTGGCATATCTCATCTATAACTTGGCTGATCCAAATTATCTACTAGTAACAAACCCATTTTTCCCGACCAGACGCTTCTTAACACCGTCTGTCCCGTCAACTCGGTTCAGTCAGATCGACCACAAACACCCCCAAGAGCGACATTCAAAATTACCCAACTAGTAGCAGGTTAAATAATTGGATCTGGACTGTGGCCGCCAATTATGAACACTATCGCCGAAACTCGACGATCTTTTCTACTTCTGAGCCCACGATGCCCACCCTTTTTGAGAAACGTGCATTTTTGCGAGGTTCCCACGGGAATGATTGGCCCTGGGTCCTTGACATGCAAATGAAGCGTCATCGGACTATCGAGATCATTTTACCAATCACGGGCCGTAGATGGTTCCAGACGGGAAGACGATTCTCATTTAGGGCCGCCCGACATCAGGTGCCCGGACAATCACTCTGCCCAATTTGGAGAGATAAACAAAACGACGGCTTGTTGAATAAGTTATGCGGAGCCGCACATCTCCTATGCCCCCGGTAATAAGGAAACTATAATGAGATTATTATTATTATTATTATTATCTCTGATGGGGATAGATGACCCCTTGTTTCTTAACTCTTACCTCGTGATTTGATTACCTATTCCGGAAGGACTCTCTCAGGTGGATTGTTAGTAGCTCGCCTAGATAATGGTCCATGGTATTGTATCAGGGCGATGCAATTCCGTCGCTTGGTAGGAGCAAGGAAACCCACGAGTTCCCAATCTTAGAACAGTGATGTCAATATGTCAATCATATCATGACGTTGTGACGATTCAACAAAGGAATCTTCACTCCGAGCAAAACTAGCTGTGGCTCATGCAGTGGCTGAGCCCTGCTTTTCCGGTATCGACAGGTTAACCTTTACAATACGTACCGGACGGCAGGGCCGAGAGGAAGCGATCGTGTTTGCTGGACCCAGCAAACCAAAGACCCGAGAAAGTATAAAATAAAATAAAATAAAATAAAATAAAAAAGACAAGGCGGGGAACAACAAATCCCACGAAAGAGGTAACCCGTGTCGATCGACCCCGAATTTTATTATTTACTTTTCAACAAGTTTTGATTCTCGGGTAAATCCTATCCTTAATTCCCATTTTGGGACGGAAGATTTGGCCGGTCGGTAAAGCGCAATCCCAGCACTGATCGATCTCTAAATTTTTATCTATTTATTTATTTTTTTTATTACTCTTAAACCAAAATCACTTCAACGCCCAAACATCCTTAGACTCTTCGCACTATATGCGATGTATGACATATGTACAATCCGGGCTGGCTAGCCTGTTACACACTACGGCCATGGACACTAGCAGACGTAGCACTAGACAAGGGCCAATTAGTTTGCGCCTAGTAAGGCCAGAAGGGATCAACAACGATGACACCGAAGTACTCTGCAGTAGTAGGAGTAAACACTCCGGTCGGTGAGAAAAAAGCCACTACAGCAGACATTAGCGCCACAAAATCGACGAAGCCACAACAATAACCTCTCGCGTGTCAGAGCGCGGATCGTCCCGCACATCCATTGGAAGATCTCCATACGCTAGGATGGAATGAGGCGCAGCGCACACCGCTTCACCTTAGTTCACCCAATTTTTTTCCCCCTAGGGCTTTAGACTAACACAATACTAGATAGTTCTTCTCCCCCCCATGCCATCATCGATGCATTGTTATGTCATAATGGAGAGGCTCCACCTGCCAACAACGCGATTTAGGATCCAATGAATCGGGCCTCGTGGCTCGAGGAGGACGAAGCTCACCGATATTTCTTTCCATTTGGCTTCCGGAACATTGTCCCCCATGCTTTGCCAAGGCTAGGTATTTGCGGTGGGGTAACGAGACGCGAGGTGACCTATTTGGGACGTGTTCTAGAAAAATCGTGAGGTGGGCTTTCTTACTATGTATGTTCGTGGCGCTTTTTAGCCTCGTATGATATGATATGTTATTGTTTAGCGTAGTTTCATCTATAGGGAAGGAACGGATAGCTATTCAGTGTTTTATTATGTCTTGGTCGTGAGTGAGTTTATTTATTTATTTATTTACTCCTCACTTCAGTTTTACAGTATACTACCATTATCAATAACCAGCGCCAATATATATAATAAATAGGAACGATCGTTATTGGCAGTGTTTTCACAATGGTAGATACACTGTACGGAGTGCATAAAAAATATGTATCCAAACAAGCCACACTGCCTCCAACCTAACACCCGAGGACTTCTCTTTGGGACGATGTACAAGGCCCTCCCTGCCTAGTCCGGCAGGAAAATAAACATCTTACCCAGACGAGAAAAAATCCCCATCCCACCCCATCCCACCTGCATAAATTTCTAATTTCTCACCTTAGTTGGTCCACCACTCACAACTTCGCAAAGCCATGACATGGCACAGTGAGGTTTATCCAGACCAATCATGTCTACATGGAGATTAAAAATCGTGCATAATGACCTGTCATGTACGCTCGTCTCGAGATGCTCGATCCATTTAACACGTAATACACGGTCGCACTCAGCTGCCTTTGAAGCACACGTGGCAGGGCAACCGGCGAAGTAAAACCTAATCGAAAAATAAACGGAAAGAAAAAACATACATATAAAAAAAACTTAATAATAAAAGAAGGAAAATTCTCACGCAACCTAAATGATCCGGACTCGACGGACGTCTCACCATGTTGATAAGTAATTAATAAATTATAAGCATATTTCCATCCCCAGTCCCATAAAGTCAAACCCCAGAGTATGAAAAGCCAGACACAATGGAGGCTAATTTACGATACGTAACTACGCCGTTTTCACCGTTCTTGGGAGAGGGCTCGCCATTGGATGGAATAGGAGGGTATATGGCGGCTGTTTTTCTCTTCTTGGTCATGTTTTATTTTTATACATTATACTTACATGCATACCTATGATGACTCCTGGTCAACTTACTGTTACTACTGGATGCAATGCGCCATGTTCGGTTTGCAGGGAGTTGAAGTGATGGTTACCTATGGAATGGGTGGACTAAGCCCTACGAAAGTTTGTTGGTGAGTGTCAGATTGGTATCGGGGATCCCTGTCTCCATGTGCACGGTTAGGATTAGGATTACTGATTACTACTCGAAGGCGTTGTGAGGCCTACCTAATACGAGGCGTCTCGAGTTTCCGGGGGAGAGAGGGTTGATGGGCTGATTTTCCTCGATTCCATAGGTGTCATCGCTAAATTTAGGATGCGATTGTTGGGGTGAGATAAAGGGACTGACACTTACTATCTAATCGTCTGATTGTTCCTATCCAAGGGTCCGCGGGGCAGGAAGTAGCACAAGGTCTTTTTTTTGTTTCTTTTGTTTTGCTTGTTATTTTATTTTTATTTTAAATAATGCTTGGCTCATGTTAAAATTTCACAAAGAACATTACACAAATCGTAAAGAACAATAGAAACAACCCTGTCACGCCCATAGGACTAATAATACGTAGTAGTTAGTAGGCAGGTACGTACGCACATACCATATACCGCATTTCCGGAAAGAGGCCCTTAGAGAAGACCCGAATATCAAGGGTTGACATCCACCTCCCATTCCCCACTTCCGAGAAGCCGGTCTACCTCGCATAAGTAGAACATAGTACTCCGTACTCCGTAGTAAGTAGTGTACTAGTCCGGATTCGGGGTCCTCGCTAGTCTCAGGTCAGATCCAGACCGTGTGCCCATTTCCAGGGGTACTGTAGTACAGAACCACAGGAATCGTCATGAATACATGACCAATACGATGCCGATGTGCAACCTCCAGAAGCTTTTGGCCCCCAACGAATGCAAGGGAACATCTGGTGCAACCCACGAGGGAAACAGGGGACAGGGTTAACATCCTGTTTTTTCTCGTGGCAGTCAGGGAATATCAGCCCTCAAACAAGCGCCGACGTGAGGGGAATGGGGTAATCGAAGCTATAGATAGTAGCAGGTAGGTGTGTGTGTGTGTGTCTGTATGCGAATCGGTTTCATCGTGTGGCCGATGCTATCGTTGGTGGAATACTGCGTAGTTGCAGATAATCCATGTTAAGGTGCGCGCTTACATACTTGGAATATTCTTAGTTACTCGGTCACCAGTAGGATCTCTTGGAAAGGGATGCTAATTGAAATAAATCAGACCATGAAACGGGGTTGAAACATGGGGTGATTTCTTTTTTGAGAGTAAATTTTCTAAGTTTGGAGGTGGTGGACCATGTTGATGTTAATTAATTTATTCTTAGGTACTAAGAGATAGTTGACCTCTCTCTGTTAGGTTTTCTACCTGTCAAGTGTCAAAAGGGACTCGACCCATCCATTTCTCGGTTCGAATGGGGGAAGCTGTCAGGAAATTAATTCCATTGCCCCCTTCATCTTTTTACCTTTACCTTTTACCTTTTTAGTTTACCTATCACAGATATCTCAAATTCTGCTTTCATCTGGATCGGTCTTTCTCATCCCAAATTAAGCAGGTTCGCTAAATTCCAATAGACTCATAAGATTAATATAAAATAATGGGGAGGAGACAAATAGCATTCGAATATACGGAGTTTTCCGTCGACGAAGAAGAATTCCAAATCAGGCTTCATACCGCGGGATGTCAAAATCGGCCCGTGGTACACGTTCCCCCTGATCCGACCCCCGTCTCTTTTTACCCCATCCGTCAAAAAACTCGAGAAATGATGACAAAAAAGCAAAAACAGAAGAAAGAAAACTGAAAAAAAAAAAAATAAATAAATAAATAAATAAGTAAAGAATAATAATAAATTAAATTAATCCTCAATCCAAAAAAGACTTGGGTGGCCTAAGGGCTCGGATCCATAGGACACCCGTCATCCAAGCTAACAGATCTAGCGCCCGGACGGTCACATATCGTCCCAGACCGGGGAAAAGATTAGCGCAAATAGTGATTCTCAAGCGTCCCCTCTCTCTGGGACTTTGAATCGTAGAGGGATTTCCAGATTGGTCGAGGAGATAGTGCTGACAAGGTGATATGGGTCTAGCACTCGATGTAGTCGTGTACACGAGCTTTGAGGGTTGACAGTTCGTTCTAGACATGACGATCTGCAATATCTTATCCTATTCCCAGACTGTTGGGAATCTTGGGACGGATGTCGGTTGCTCTCCCCATATCAGTGATTTGGATGGAGATCATTTTCTTCTCTCTATTTTGCGTATCGTTAAAAGATAAAAGTAATACACCCACAGACTAATCTGAGGTATCCCCCTTCGCGAATCTTTCCTCCCTTTTTTTTCTTTTTATTAATTTTCTTTTTCCTCTCTCTCTTTTTTTTTTGCCTTTCCGCTTTCCTTCGAGCCCCACTGTACTCCGTAAGTACCAGGGTACGGAGCAGGTTGGAAACAGCTAATGTACGCTATAATGCATTGCATACGTACGTCGTCGCCGTGCATAATACTCGCCACAGAAGTAAGTCCCAGAACAGAAAGGCAAATTAAAGTGGATAGAAACTGGCCTGCGGCAGTCGCGGAATAAGCTAGATTCTCCATTCTCCCGCTTACCGAGATAACATGTTCTCAATTAGGCAAGTAGTGGTCGTCTGGCAGAGTGAGTTCTAAGGCTACCCCTTGCGTCGATGTGAAAGATTTACGCTCCTCGTAGCCTATATGAGTTAGTAATGGAGGATGGTGACTGCGGAAGTCCGTTCCGCGTCACCTAGAGAAACATACCCTACTATTACCCCGACTGAGTGAGGCATCGCGGCAGGACATGGGCATAGGTACGTACATAGGTACGGGGTGGAGTGTGAGGGTAAAGTACATGTGGTTTACTCTGTAGTTTATGCATATCTGTCGTCTGTGGCGACTTACGCATGGTTGCGTCAAGTTTAGTTAGTATACAGAGATGTGACCGGGTTTCTCGTGACAAGTGCCGACAAGATTAACTACTACTGAATCCATGCAAGAAAGGAGCGAGGAGAATGAGGAATGAGTAACAGAAATCATTTATTCTTTTCATTAAGTTTCAACCCCTCCCAGTTGAGTAGCTCGGTGCAGTTATGTTGCAGAAAGATCTACAAGTGCTATGTATGCACTATGCATCCTTTCAAGAACGGATATTGCGGGCCAACGTACGACCGGGGGTACTTCAGGTTCTTGGTCGATGCAAGGATAGAGCAATGGCCGAGTCCAGATCAATAGAGAAGAAGCTATGAATCTTATCATGCAGGGGTAGAAGAGTTTTCTTGACAAACGAGGATATGAACCCAAATTTTGTCTCTTTACACTGGGCTTGGAGAGAATACGACAGCACATCCATAAACGTAGTTAACCTGTGGGAACGGAAGTTACTCCAAGGTTGATCGTCCTCTGCAAGTCCTGAATCAGGTTGACGGCCAATATTGGCCCGGATTTAGTCATGTGTAACGCAGGTCGTGTATGCAGGGCGAACCAACCTACAGTACATACAGTGCATACTAGTACACGATCAGCAGACGCTGGTCCTTTCCAAGAGATGAATGGTCTTGGCTACGACGTTCTAAAACTGGTATCATGCGGGACTTGTTCACCTACAGCAGTGGGAGTTAATATCAATATTCGCCTCTGACTTTACGGCGTACTCCGTTCGAGTATGTTCAATGAATATGGCCATGTATGTAGTAGTACTGTATGTACTACCCCAGTGAAACTAATACTAAACCCCATGCCAATAATCCAGCGAAATATTGAACTATGGATCTACTAGGTTGCGCAATACTAGTCCATACACTCCGAACGCAAATATCAGAGGTTGAAAGTATTCCCAACATGCATGACGAACATCTCCGATCTTAGTGCAACCTGATCTTGTCCATAGTTTTGTATTTCTTTTTGCATATCATCCAATAGCTGAAAGGCAACCCAGCACAGTCGATCATCCCGAGGGTTCAGTCCGCACCAGATCTCCCGGATTTGCCACCAGCTTGGACAGGACGCCTTAGGCGCGCTAGCTTAATGCACGCTTTTCACTGGGCAATAACGTCGACATCAGTGATGCCACTTGCTTAATCAATCGGCGCTACTCGGGCGGAATCTCAATTCTCTTCCCCCCGGTCTGCCGCCTGTCACTCAATAGTTTGGTTGAACATCTCTTCCTGGGTTTTTATATATTTGTTCTTCGAATGTTGACCAAAGAAAAAGTACAAATGGTGCTGAGACTGACATTTGCGATCTTTCTGTCAGTTTTGGGTTTAGCCGAATAAACCCCACCGAACACGATCGGTCGGAAATGGCTTCCGAGGAGAATTGATAGAGATCTCTCCCATAACCCCAAATCATAAGATTTCTGATTCTACCACTGTCCAGTTTGATCTATCTGCGACAGGGAGTACCTATATCCCCTTTTCATTATTCTTCCAAGCTGAAGCGTCCTGCGCAGCATACGTGCCTCTTTGCCCGCAGGAGTAATATAAAAGGTGGCGATGTGTGCCGCCGCGGCCCTTGAAGTGCATACATCATTATGTATGTTCTTTTGTGACAGCTGGAACTACTCTCACTTTATGTGCGTCCGTTTAGTGCTGTACATGGGTATATCACATAGTCCGGTCTAGAATACATTATAACATCAATCCCCTCCAACTAAACCGGCGATAATATACTTATTACCTACACCATGACAACAGACCAACACAACCCTCCCCACACAGACCACCGCTAATATAGTGTGAGAGTACCTTGTTGCAAGAAATACTACCTGCCCAAAGGGGTAATCGGATCAAATCCACCATAGGGTCACACCGTATGCTACCTTAATCCACTCAGATTATTCCACCTACAATCTAGGTATTCCTCCCCGAAACCAAGCATACCAAACTTCACCGTACGCAAATCACGCTAAAACTCGAACCCATAATCACAGGGCAGGCAGTGGCCGACCGGAAAACCCCAAACCATGACTTCACCAAGCTAGTGAGCCTGAACCAGGAAAAAAGAACACGCTAACTAACAATTTTTTAGTTTGTGGCTCAGCGTGACTAAAGTGGATAGATCAGGATACAGTAACCCGATCGGGAAACCCCATGTGGCACAGTTTCCAATCTACACGGGAAAATCGGGCCGCGGAAAAACAAAAAGACTGTGACGACACTTTAGGTCAGTTTTCCTCAGGGACCTCTCCCGATGACGGCATGGACCTTTTGTTTTCCTTTCGTTCTTCTCCGAGATCTGATTCCCCACCGGGAGATTCGAGTTGGAACTTTTTCTCTTTTCTCTCTTTTCGTTCTTATTTTCCCTTTGGCACTAACACTAGCTACTCCCTTAGTCTCCCCAATTTCGCACATGGAAGGCAGTGTCATCTTGTCAGTTTCGGCTTCCCCGATTTTAGGTGCATTGTTTTTTCATGTTTAATTTTCTTTTTCATCTACGGAGTATTGAGTTGGGGGTAAAAAAAAAATTGGAGATGAGGTTAGCTTGCAATCGGCTTTACCGCCAGTTGATATGACAGGGGTCATATGACGGGTTTTAAAATCAGCATGTAGAAATAAAATTAAAGTGAAGAAACAAAGACAAAAAAAAAAAAAATCCTCCATGGACAATGCCATAGGAACATAATGCAAGTGGGAAAATTTTTCTGCAGCAGCAGCAAGCACATAAGCATCCCCGGGTCCAGACTTCTGACGAAACGCAGGCTTGCCAAGCCAAGCAAGCCCTTCAACGAATTCCGCTGTGACTTATGTGTGAAAAGCCTGCAATATGTTAGTCAGTTTGCACATAACAGTACTAATTGATGAAGAATAGCTTTTCTATACTGAAGGCTTTTTTTTTTTTTCTTTGAGTTGAAGCCGAAGCCAGCGGTCAGGATTACCAAGATCTGATTTGCAGGGCAGAAGGATCGGTACCCTTGTGGATTGAAGGAGATGATTAGCCAACAGGAGGCCGCCATTGAGGTTCGTGGATTGTGATCCGGGGGGGAAGTTTCGCGTGGGTTCGTTCCGCCATTATAGATCGATCCCCCCGAGATCCTTTTTGTTTATGTTTTACTCTTTGAGTCTGCTTTTTATCATCTGTAGAGTTTTTTTTTTAATCTGCTATGTAGATTGATTGAGAGGACATGACCTCTTGGTTGGTATGAGCTGTAGAAAGAACCCTAATCATAAACCGATAATCATAGAGACGGAGTTTCCACACAGACACACACAGAGACTAGACGAAAGTATATTCCGTCGATCTTCCTTGGGATATTCTTTTCGCCGAGTCGGAACGGAAGACAGACACAGAGAGCGAGAGAGGGAGAGAGAAAGCCCTCCTGCAGCTGTCAAAACCCATGAGGCGCAGTTTTGAGTTCCTCCTGCGTTGTGCATATCACAGAGACTCAGCGACCAGATACTGTAACTACTCTTAGTGGGCACTACCTGTCAGACTGTCAGACTGTATGTTTACCGTTTATCGGGTCTCCGCAACTCTCTTCTCACCGCATGTCACTGCACGGCTATCATATTCGGGTTTTTGAGGATACGAGGCTTGAGACATGAGGGATTGGTGGTGCAGACCAGATTTGATTGGATAGATATGGTCGCCGAACATTCAATGCCCGAAGCTATCGAGGCCAACCGATGGAGTCAGTAGTTTAGTTAGCTAGCTCGTTAGTTAGTTAGTAGGATGGGAAGATTTGTCATCCATGTAAACCACTGATACCGATGAGTGAAGCGATCCCATTGCCTAATCGGGACTTGTGATGTCTACCTAAACACGCATTCCAGCAATCAACCAACCCAATGTCCATCTACTACCTTTTACTACTTACTAGTCCCGTTGAATTAACTAACCTCATACGCCCAGCTCCTGCCACGACGCCAGACTGTCCATGACGGAGCATCTCCCCATCCAGACGAGTGGCAAAAGATGCTGCGCAAGGCAATTACCCCTCATTAACACTGCCCTGGAGGAGAAGAAGGAAAAAAAAAAAAAAAAAAAAAAAGAGAGAGACGAAAAAAAAAGCAAAGAAAACACCGCAAAGGAAGACCTCTCCTATCAAGTGGCAAAAAGATGATAATAAATAATAATAATACTAATAAAAAGAAAAAGAAAAAGAAATGGGTAAGCAACAAGTTCGTCCAAAGCATTCGTCTCCTGCAGTGTAACATGACCCTGTGCACCATCGACATCATTTTTCTTACTCGTGGATCTGACGATTAATCGATCGATAAATCAAATCAATCAACTTAATCAGTGACCTTACCCAGTATGTCCTGATACCCCGAGAACTACACGAAAACCCCTAGTAAACAAAACACATCCCAATAAAATAACTTACTAGAATATATAAAATTAAAAATCAATGATAATCGATATCGATTCATACCCAACCGCACGACCCGCCAACCTCTCCCCTAAAACCAATCTAACAAGGAAGACAATCCCTAAACCATAAAGCTTAGGGACCAAAATGTACGACTTGATGTGAACACGCCAATCATTATTTCCGTGAACTCCCCCCATCTGCAGGTAACGAACAGAAATGCCGATAATTCATCCGTCCATTGAATCCCCCTGAACCCCACACATACACACCAATATCCCAACGTCAACGCCAAAACACCAACCCAGCCCCCTCCATCCTACTGGTATCCACACCCCCCTTCCATCCATCCATCCATCCATCCATCCATACATACGTACATACGTACCCTAAGAACGACACACAGTCAAATCACCAAGGCTGGCAACATGGCGAGCTGAAGATACAACTACACGGCCCAAACTTCGCCTTCTTCTTGACTTGTTGAGCACCCAACCTGAGCCAGTTATATCGTCGTTGCCTCACTATGCGGAACTCTCTCGGGAAGTGGAAAGAAGGCCATTGTTAGGTAGCTTAGTTAGAGATGAGTACTGGACAGGCTTAGGTGGGTACTAGCTGCTAGTGTGATTGTTCTGCGAACTGTGATTTTCGTTGCTTGCGGAGATCTCTGGTGAGGGGTTTGTTGTTGTGGTTGTGGTTGGTTGGTTGGTTCAATGTTGTGGCGTGTGAGGGGTCTAATTGGTTGGAGGGGGCCTTTTTGGGGGTTAGTTGGTTATTTTGTCTGTTGTCTGCTGCCTGCTGTATATTGTCTATTTGAAAGTTTTGGTGTAGTATGTTTTGGTATAGTACCTTGGGAGTGTGTTGTAGAGGACTAGTCTCTTGTTGGGTTCTTATCAGTAGTATGTACGTAGTAGTGTTGACTGAGATTATTGATCTTGATTATTGAGATATAATTCGACAAAAGAAGAACGGGGATGGAGCCTGTCATTATCATATAATGGGGTATAGGTACTTGATTTAGTGTGTGCACTTAGGTACATACCTATAAGCACTATATTTCTCTCTACTGTCCACATCTATGAGCTTAGGATTTGTGTAGATTGTGGGTGTGGATGGTGTGGGTATTCATATCAGAAGAGCGTGGATCATGTCCAGTAGGTTGGTATTTGCGTTGATATACTATGTATTCCAGCATTGTATATTTGGCCTCCTTTGTGTAGGCTATGGGAGTATACCAGTGAGTGAGTTGAATGTAGCTATGTTGATGGAAGCTGGCGCTTGTTGTTGTTGTTGTTGTTGTTGTTGTTGCTAGATGTGAGCTTGGTTTCTCCTTGATGGTGATATGATATGATAGCTGCGAGTTGTTGTTTAGGATATCAAGTTGGATCGCTGTTTACATTAATCTCTATGTTTTGTCGACGCCTCTACGGGAAGTGTATATGTGAGCTCCAAATAGATACGTGAGGAATAGCATTTTACATTGTAATACAATACTATCATTGTCTAAAGTCATCAAGCTTTCAGTACATTCTTGTTTATGTTTTCATGATAGCATTTGAGATATGTTGAGATACGTATCAAGAAATTAGAACTCGATAAGGCAATGGATTCAACCAAGCCTCTCTGTCCAGTTGGGCTTGACTGTTCCCTTAGGATCATACTGCCAGGCATACCAGAGAGCGGTAAGCGTCAAAGTAGCGAATAATAACACAAGATTTCCCAAAGCTTGTAGTTCGGGTTGAGAGATACCAGAAGATTGCATAGGAGGAAGAAAAAACAATTGCCTTCGCAGCACCGGGAACCTAGATAATCCGAACGCACACATAAGCCCGCCTCCCCCGACTGATAGAATGAAGAACATCAGTTTAGGCAACCAGAAGATAGCCATATCATATGCTTCAAATGATCTTGTCATGAATGGAACGACAAAGAACCACCCTAAGACCAAAAAGCTAGACCCCCAGGAGATGATTGTCATGGCCAAGCCGGTATATACTATAGGTAGAACCAGGGCAGGCTGACTTGGTAGCATTCTCGCTAACCTCTCGTACAATGTGCATTTAATCGTACTAAAATCTGGTGGGAGGATCATGAGGAGCAGTGGATATCCTGGGGAGGGGGAGGGATGCACGTAGATTTCAGTACCCTGGGTATGTAACCATATTCTGGGTACATAGTAGGCACCCAATACGCTCAACAAGAATACCGTCAGACTGAGGGCTTGAGATGGTCTTGATGTTTCTTTCTCCACCTTACACAAGATCTCCCCCCAGCATGTTGGCATTGCCCAGACCAGGAAAGCTATATGTGCACTTATCGCAAGGTAGCCCAACCATCGTTCCACAAAGGATAGTAAACGTTGTATCCCCTCGGATATAACTGGCTGTGGCTCAGCTGTCGGGGGGTCCTCCACGAAGGGGGCTCGTAAACTAAGAAGCTCGATGATGACAAACGAGGTGAGATAACAGTACCCCCATGATCTTGTCCACGGAATGCCTTGCATAGCGGTAAGCTTGAGAGCTTGTGAGAGGGATCCTATGAGAAACCCCAACCAACGGATTATGGTTAACTTCTCAAGTTCCCGTATCGTTTCGGAGGGCTCGTCCTCTGCATTGTCAATCGCAGAGAAGCGAATGGAAAGGATCATTTGGGCGGCGAGGGATGGCGATCTTCCGCTGATCCAGTAAATCGCAAAACGAAATAGAATTGCAAGACTATCAGCAGCGCAGATGAACGGCGATCCACGGAGATATGTCCTGAGCCTTGGGTGGAAACCGCAGACTCTGCCAGAGGGCTGAAACATGGTTACCAGGGCAAGTGGCACAAGTGCCCAAAAGGCGCTCTGCCAGGAGACTTGGGGTGATGGATCCACCATTATTTTATGATGAAGAAAGTCTCAGAATGATTTTGCTCTCGTGGTGAAGTAACTGACGTCGTCGTCTTGGAAAAGGGGGAGAAGAGTGTGGGTTCTTATGATAGCTCAGTGTTGCTCAGCCTCGTTCTGTACCTCTCCAGAGAAGGCCACACACCGCACGTTCTCATTCAACGTATCGCAGCACCACAAGCTCAACTTATCGTCGAGGTGGTTTATTCGTATTGACGCCTTCCTCACTCACCACGACCCATTGCGGATTGGGTCCGTGAAACTTTTTGACACCCAAACTCTTCTTGCCTAATCAAGTTTCCTATTTTTCTTTCCTATTAGTGTTGCAGCGCCTTGCTTACAAAATCCTGTATATTGACTACCATAATTCCCATATAAAATGGCGCCTTCTAGACCTATATATCTCAACCATGAAGCTTCCAAGGGCTTGTAATATTTCCTGGATTTTTAACACACACCAGCTCCTCGTTTTCATGTGGCTGGTAAGAAGCTAATCAAAATTAGATAAGTAACACTGAAAACCTGACAAAAGGGTGGTATCCGAATTGTTGGTATGTACATCCCCATGCTATGCTTAGCCACCCAATGAACCAAAGCACACGAGTAATCAAGTGAGCAACTATGTCTACTGAATCGCAGTTTGGTTACGGTAGAGATCGCAGGCGTGAGGATGTTGCAGGCAATACTTCGGAACCAGAGCTTGAGCCTGAACACCATTCGCAACGAGGTATTCACGGAAGTTGAGGATACGCTGAGTCATCTCCGTGGTGCGTTTCTTGCCATCGGCGTCGCGGTTTCCGGACCAGACGAGCTCTGCCAGAGCTGCAGCCCGAGGCCAGAACATGCTGGACACGTTAATATCATCAACTTGCTCGCCCCAGAGAGGAGCTGTAGCGCCAATGATATGCTTGGTTTGCGCCTCAGTGAGGTTGAGGGTGAAGTCGTAATCGTAGATACGTTGCCAGGTTTTGTAAGGGGCGCACCACGATCCTCCATTGCCTCCATAGTTGAAATTAGGGGTATTAGCATCTGGGTTGGACATCACATTGTACCGCGGGTCATTGGTGACGAAGCCTCCATGACCACAGTCCAGGTACAGGAAGTCAGAGGATGATACAATGACGTCGTAACCTCTAGCTGTCAAGTTCGAGATGTACTCTAGACCATTGTTCCAGCTCTGCATTACAATGTTCTTGGGCACATCATGTGCATTCTCCGCGGACAGCGCAATGTCCTCCCACATAACCAGACGGCGTTCTTGGCTGTAGTTCTGGAAAATAGGCACGGCATGATCAACCCAGTATTGAGCCAGGTCGTGGTACGTACGCGAGGGATCCTCGGCAAACCACTTAGTGACGTGGGTGCTAAAGTTGAAGCAGTTGGGTTGGATTTCGTCTCCTCCGACATGGAACCAATGGTCAGGGAAGATGTCCGACAGTTCCTTGTAGACATTGCCGACGACCTCGTAAGTTTTGTTGTAGATGATGTCAAGCTGACCCGGATTTGGCTCAACTGCGGTATGGAGAGGCCAGTCATCATTGGACCACCAGGCGTCTGTGCAAGTAACCATTTCGGGGTCAACTTGCTTCCAGCCTGAGGAGGAGTGACTTGGCATGTCAATTTCAGGGATCACACGAATACCACGAGCCCGAGCATAATTGACAATGTTGCGAACATCATTGCGCGAGTAAATCTCATGGGGCGAGTAAGCATCTTTGACCATCTCGGGATAAGCGTCGACCCAGATAGGCCAAGACTGCGCATCATCTATGTGCCAGTGCAAGACGTTGAGCTTCGAAAGGGACATGCCCTCTAGCTGTTCGAATATTTTGGGCAGGGTGACGAAGTTACGACCCGTATCAAGCATGATTCCACGGTAGGGATAAAGCGGAGAATCTTTGATGCTGACGGGCTCTTCGATAATCAAACCGCCGTGGCCATCAGATATGACCAGCTGTTGGAGTGTGGTGAATGCATGCAGAGCACCCCAGACGGTCTCGGCGTTGATCGTGATGCTATCCGAATCTTCCTCAACATTGAGCGTGTAAGACTCATCAACACCGTGCTGGAGATCGGCCTCTGTGTTTTCGACTTGTACATTAACATATTGTAGTGAAGTTGAGGCGCGCTTCGTTTTTCTGGAAGCGCCCGCTGTAGGGGTTGGGAAAGGTTCGAAGGAGGAGATGGGAGCTTCCGTGGCAGCGGGAACCCATCGTAAGGCGACTATGGTCTCCCATGCACGAGACCATGCATCGGACACAATACCATCATGCGAGTCAGTTTCGGTGCGCAGCTGCAGCTCTCCAGCGATGGATTTGGGACCGGAGGAACCCCAGGAGATCTCACGCGGAGCCGGTAAGGGATTGACACCGACGGCGACGGCTGAGGTTGCCGTGAAGAGCACGGTGCAGATCCCGGAGATCCGCATAATTGAATGATATTGTTCGAGTCAACCCCTGCGTAAAGAGTTGATTATCGCATAAGGGAATAAAAAAAGAAATTGAAGGGAAGGAAATTTGAAAGCAGAAGTGCAGTAGATAAGGCTGTGGTTGAGGGAAAGGCGAGCTTAAAGGCTAGACAAAATAATCGCTACTAGTGGGTTCACTCAAGGGCTGGTAAATGTCGATCCCTTTCTCCGTTGGCATTCCATTCACCATCCTTCTCATTTAATCAAGAACCTGCAGCGGAACAGAGGGATCGAGGCTCGGTTCGAGAATGAGACCCAGGATTCCGAAGGAGCGCCTGAAAGAGGCTTAGACCTGCACATCATTGTTTATCTTCCCTTATACCGTACCATTACCGCCCCCAATGAGGGGACTTGGGTATAGTAACCGTACCAGTAGGCTGTCGCACTGCGGCCACAACAGTATTAAAAGGTTACATTTGGTTACAAGTGTAACACTCATCATCCCCCTTCAATTTCATCCGGTATTATAGAACGTCTGCCTATAGAAGATGAAGTCTTTAATTGAATGATACCTCCCCCTCTCCCCTCTTTATCCTTGTGTTTTGATTCCCCCTCTCTCACTTTGAACTGCTACAGTGACATCGTTTGGAGACTCCGTCTTCAATTTCCTTTATTGACAGATCACTTTATTGTTACTCTATTGTTCCCCGGACATTGATCGAAATGAAATGTGGAGACGTTCCTGACCCTTCCACTTCCCACCCCCCACCCGCCAACACAACCATGGATCGAAGAATCTTATGACCAGTACTCGGTATTAAGTACACAGTATACTATTCTTTTGCATTGCCACTCTACTAACGAGTCAGAGCAACCTGAACAGTTCCATTATCAGTCATTGCAACTTTCCATTCCTCCCTTGAAACTTAAACTGGCTGTCAATCCTTAAAGTACATTTTTTTTTTTCACGAATCACCCAAGCGAGCTTCTAATAATAAACCACCGGCTTGCGCTCGTGTACTCATGCGAGTCAGGAATCAATTCGTGGCCCAAGCACAAATAAAACTACCCAACAGATACCTACAGCGGATGTTAATGTGAGATACATGTCTGGACTGAAATTTTGAACGAACCAAGACCCACGTGAGGATGGCACGCCTTACAGTCGAATTAGCAAATCATGGACGAGATTCAATCAACGTTTCTATATTAAGAGGGAGTGGTTGTCCGCCTGCTCCCACCGATGTCTCCACCGTCCTTCATGTTGCCGTGGAGAACTCACGTAGGAACTGGAATGTAAGCCGGTTTCCAATTCGGTGCACGGTTCACCTCCATACTTTGTCAAAGACCCACGCATGAGACTTGGAGATACAATTCAGGGCATGCTATTACAACTGAATGTGCTCCGACTTGACTAGAATCAAGGATTGCTGAGCTACAATGAATGTAGGACCGGTAACCAAGGGTATCTTTTCACCGACGCTTCTACACAATATGGGGAAGAAGCTTGAGAGATCTCCATCGGTAATCGCGCATTCCTGTACGATGCTTGACGAACTACTTTCGGTGGAGATCGGTTTTACGCCCGCCACTACATATTGTTCCACTATCGGCACTTGAACCGATGGATTGACTTTAGAGAACATTGTCTCAGTGAACACACTATTACGGACTCTTGAGCAAAGCTCGCTGTATAATATTGACAAAGACCCTAGATTCACATTTGCTCTACGCTTTATCCCACTTTACAACTCCAGTTATTAGCAATCACCCGCCTGTGACTCTGTGAGAAGACATCTACCCCATCTGCATTTGTCAAAGAAGTCATACAATCATTCACAGACTGTTCATTGGGAGCGGAGCTAGTCATTATACGTCAATCTACTATGATAAAAATACACTATTCATACATTCCACCCATCACACTCCTCTCACCACGAAACCTAAAATAATCTGCATAGCGAGAATTGATTAATGACAAGCCTGCCTTCAAGCCTTCAACCTAAAGTAATTCCACGGCAACGGAGCCAAAAAGCCAGCCCCCATAGCTGCCACTGCCGCCGCCCAAAATCCCGGATCGCCCAGCATAACGACAACCCCCAGTAAGATGGTAATCCACGACATTCTGCACAGACTCCATAGCTAGAATAGAAATGAAGCTCATCCCACAGGCAGTCTTGAAGGCGTGCTTCCAGGGAGGCCTATCCTTTCCACGGACGAGGAGGACTGTTTCGAGAGTCAGGGAGGAGATGAGGGCTGATGCCACTTTGTTCATCTTATTCATTCATATCTGGTATACATGTATGATGATCGAAAGGGATACAGAGCGTTTAACTCTCGCCACTTTATATACTGTTTTCCAGATTGTAGTATGTATCTAAACTTACTAGAAACCCCCATAACAACCCCCATTCCCATCTCAGGACAAAAGCTCTGTAACAGCCGTAAGGCACTAAAGTCGCCCATTGTACAGCCGACAAGCAGCGGAGGGTATTCACACCGGCTCTGGACCAGGTCGACTTGTCTGTCCAAAAAGCTAGTCTTGATATAGATGGTGGTGTCGTACATTTGCATGTTGATTGAGACTTTTTACATGTCGACAGCGTGGAGACTTCTTGATTGGCGATATGGTAGGCTTTTCTGCTAATGAAATGATCAAGTTGTACTTTCGGGATTCTGGAACATGTAATCCTCCCAGGGAAGGGAACTGGGGTCCTCATTTTGGAATTCATGGGTTGTTATTATACACTGTAGGGATTGTAGGACGGTGGTTTACATGGACTTGGACCCTTTATACTAAAACCCCAAGCCACCCGAGCCATTCCTGAGCGCTTCCTGCCGCTTACCGACGGATTGTTGTATCTTCTAGTAGAATAAATTGTACACTCCTTGAGTTGTCTCGTTGAATAGTGTATCTTTTTGGGAGCTTTAATACCGGGGTGAGGTTGTCATAAATAGCAATTATTTCTTAGATCAAAAACCACCATGAGGTGTTTACTATATAACCATGAAGTATGTGTTGTTTCAGAACTGAAAAGGACATCTTTGGTAGAGATATTAAGGTTGCGATACGCAGGTCTCAAATCCCTTTCCCACGGTCTGGGGGTTTCATGTGGTTCAAATAAACAGCTCAGCTACCACCTTTCTATACAGAATTAGCTTTCTTCAGGGCGGTCAAGTACATGTACTTGAACCCAGCTACGCTTACATTGTCTTAAAAAGCTCTCCATGTTCACATTTCTAAAAAAGAAATACCTGAAAAGGATATGGTAGAACCAGATATTGTGCTACATGCAATGGCCACAGACAGCCCTGAAAGTGACCTGTGACAGACAGACCAATCCCCGAGTCATGCTGCAGTCGAATGGGATACAAACCCGAGTATAGTGCTGTGCTATGACCGGAGCAAGATGATGGCGCTGTCAGTGACGACACCACATTTTGCTAGCGGGCACCTGGCAGAAGATAAACCTAAAGCAACCCATGTGACTCGAATGCGCCGTTCAATATACGTCGTTTGGGTTGTGTTGTTATACGCCACTCTGCTTCTTTTCTCCTGGATCGTTACTTGCAAACTTACGTATCGTTCCATCGCGATGGATCATTATGGTGCCAGTAGCAGAATTTATGAGTATTTCTATCCCCGAAGAGACTCACGCAAAAGATTATCAGAACGAAAGATAATATAGGCTTACCCAGATCATCCAGTCTGTTGCCGGCGTGTTGACTATTTTTTTGATGTCCGTAGTATACTTAACACTGTACTATGCGACCACCAAGCATCACACTTCGCCAGATGGTTATGCTAGCAGACAAAGATTAGATAGATATCGCAACATACTCATACATAGCTCAATAGCCCCCCACTTTTCTTGTCTAGGTGGTGGTGATACACGTCACTGAAGGGTATTATCTCCTCTTTACAAGAGATCTTTCTCTCGACGGAGGGCATGTCCATTGGGAATACTTTGAAGGTTAATTATGATGCAAGGGTTGGTTCCTATAACCCGCCGATCTCATTTGCGAGGATAATTGTCGTCGTGTCTATGCTGAAACGGATTCATTTGTTGGGGTTGTTGGCGACGGCATGATGGTCAAGGTGAATATGTTGTTTCGCTGGGTGGATCGGGGTGCTTACAGAAGAAGAAGGGTTATGAAGCGTACGATAGGAAGGCTTTGAGGAAAAGAAAGCTCAAACAAGACATAAAAAAAAATATCTATATACTTAATTAACAAAGACAAACACTATATTATATAGACTACCCTGCTTAATCCTCCGACTGAATCAAGCCTTAGTAAACCTACAAAATTATAGAGTAGACGAATCTCAGCAGTCCAGTACAAAGGCGTTTCATTATACCAATTTGTCGGAACATGAGAAATGCAAGAGTTTCACATTGTCCGGAAATTATTCATACTAGCATGACAATATAACACCGAATTAGAAAAGGTCGAGACCAAGAAAACGTATCAGGAGGATGCGCATGTGAAACGTTCTCAGAAAAGAAGGACCCGAAACACTGTAGGACAGCATTGGAATGATTGCCGAAGATGAATGGCGCGCTGGCATATCCAAGCAATCCTCTATCTGTTTTCCTGAGGCGTTTCCTCAGAGTGGAGGAGACCTTTGGTCTTGTTCGCTTTGCTCAGACATTGTCAGCACAGTTTCATACATAGCATGATACGCACCCAGATCCACTTCAACACTTTATGAGAAGTATGTTTGTCAAAGGTAATATGATATCATAGTTGAACTTTGATTCTGTATCCATGTTGTGAACTTTAAGCTTTGACGAAGAGGTATATTAGGGTTTAGTCACTGGTTACTCACGTGCTAATTTTTTATCATAATCAGATAGGTATAAGGCAGACAGCATAGGTGTTAGTTTACATCGCATGACCAAGAATGATCTTTCTTTAGGCTTGTATTATACCGTATTACTATATCCTTCAACCGGGGAAAGGAATTTCATGCTTGTTCATGTTGAAACGGGTTTGAGGGAAATGACTTTGCATGAGGCTACACTGGTTCTCTAAGTTTGTTGCAAGTGTGTGTTTTCGTCTTCAGCCCTTAATTGATGTCAAAAATGAAAATTGATGCACAGATTACGTCGCCTCCGTATCTTAATGCAGTCTGTGTAATTACATGGTATAAATGAAAATCATGAGTATGTTAAGCCTTCTCCAGCCGTCTCTCCAGCTCTATTGCTTCGCTGAATGCTTCCTTCAGAGCTGCCGCCTCCTCGGCCGACGGCTCCAGGCATGGCCGGCGCGGCTGTGCTCCATATCCCCGATAGCTCTGGAGTGCGCTCTTGACTGCCACAAATCCTCCTTTGATCGCATGCCAATCTGCTCGGGCTACGACCGCCTGAGCCGCCTGGGCTTCCTTCACCTTGCCCTCATTGTAGAGCTTCATGACATAGACACACGACCGAGGGATCAAATTGGCAAGGCCGCCGATGATACCTGCACCACCGGCGACGAGGGTCTGGAGTGTGAAATCAGCCGACCCGCCGAACGTCAGGAATTCTGGTTTGGCCTGGGCGGCAATGCGGGCTAATTTTCCGGTGTTACCACATGTCAGCTTGACACCCACAATGTTTGGGTGCTGCGAAAGTGCTAGGATGTCGTCGGAAGTGAGGTCCAGACCGGACGATGCACCGGGGAAGTTGTAGATCAAAACCGGGACGGGGGATGCGGACGCCACGGCGCGGAAGTGGTCGCGGAGGGCCTCGGTGCTGACCAGGGACTTGTAGTAGCATGGTGGTAAGACCAAAGCATAGTCACCTCCAGATTCGCCGGCATCCTTGCACAATTGAATAGTTTCACGGGTGGACGAGCCACCACATCCGACGATGACCGGCATCGACTCGGCGCCATGGGTGTCCAACGCCCGACGGGTAGCTGCTGTGATTGTCTTCCGTTCATCTCTGTCTAGGTGAACTGCTTCACCGTTACTGCCTTGTACGACTAGACCGGTGACTCCAGACTGGGCGAGGTAGGCGGCATGTTTCTCAACGGTGGGAACATCGACATCTTCTTCGGGGCCGGCGAAGAAAGCGACCGTTGGGACGTAGAAGCCGGGGGTCAGAGCGCGTTTTGCTGATATTCCGATTGGAGCCATAGTGATGTGACTGTGAAATCTAGGGTCGCTAAACGTCCATTAGTGAAAGAGCACTACAAGTTAGTTGGTAAAGTTGGACCTACCGGTGAAATGAGGTCACAGGAGAGGAAATCAAAAAAAAAAAAACACGATAGGGAAAAGAAAAAAAAAAGTAATTGATAGGAAAGAAGGAGGGGCGACAGGATTAAAGAACAAAAGGTATGAGGAGAAGGAAATGTGGTTCCAAAGAGGGGGGCTCGCATTCAGTGGCACCGCATGTCCAGTATAGTTCCTTTCATGAGCCTATGATGCGGATGATTATTCGCAACCCCCACGCACCCCACAGAAGGAGGGGAGGAGATCCGATGGGGCTCATGCTTGGAGTTTATTGATGAAGTCAAAGTAAGGAAAATTCCCCATGCCACTGCCCCCACGTTTCTTGTCTTGGTCTGGGGTTCAAGGCAATTGAAACTGCCATTCGGGGAATAATCTTCGTGGATTATGATCAGGGAAAAGGACGAGTGCCGGAATAAAGTCCGAGAGGAGGAGTTGAACACATTATTTTTCTTGATAGTATAAATGCGACGCAAAGATTTTCGAATTGAATGGGGATTGTTGTACGTTATCCGTCGAAAGACGTATAAAGTGACTGATTGATAGAGAAGACATGGAGAAAGCTATGGGAATGAATGAATAGAAGAAGTAAATCTACTCATTAATTACTTAAACCAAAATTAATTTGCTCTGGGAATCAGGAGTTGCTGTACCGTTCGGTTCTGGTATTGTATTTTTGAGCACCCATACATACTGTACCATACCTCACTAACACTTCCTACATTCCTCATCTTGGAGTGAAATGGCCGGAAAAAGGGAGTCGCCAAGAATAGAATACGGTAATGACGGGTCACAGAGCATCCCAAACAGCGCGACCGCAGCGTCAAAACTTCCCCAACAAGAGAAACAAAGAAAAAACACCCTGAAGATCCGGATGAAAGCGAGGCTTCTAGCTTGGGACAGGGGGACCGTATGAGACCGACCTTGCCTGCCGTCAATTTCCGCCATTGAAATCCCCAATGACCTCGACCGTCATGGCTGTTCGGTCATCTCTGCGCGTTTCTGTGCGACAAGAAGAACCCCCCAACGACGACGACGATGACCACAGTCGTCCATCACCGTCGAAGCGCCCTCGTCTGAATCCTCCTCCCTCGTCTCGTCGGCGCAAGAGCTCTCCTGACTTACTTGATACGACGACCGTGGACAGTCCCTCCAAGACCACCCCCAATAATAAAGTCGCTCACATCCGGCGCGCCCCCTCTTCCCTTCCGCGCCGTTCCTCTGCGCGCCGACCGCTTCTCTCACCCTCCTCCCATCATCATCCGCCCTCCGACACCCCACACGCTACACATCTCCGACTTCACCGCAATGAGACCCCCGCCGCCCCCCCCTCGCTCCTCTCGCGTGAATCGCCTGA